CAACCTCGACCTCCCCTCTCTCCTTTCCGCAGGACGTACCGCCACATTTATTCACGTCCGTGCTCGATGCGGCCATTAACGAACCCACAGGCGTAAGGTTAACAAGGAAGGACGGAAACCTTCGAAGTTTCGAAATTCGAAGCGACGCGTCTACGTGTTGTAACGCATCGAATTGTAATGGACCGCGTAACGTGTTTCGGATTTCGTTTCATCGAGTCGCGAAGGTCCGTGCTAGATACAGGAGGCCACGTTTACAACGGAATTGAACTTTATTAGCCAAGATCTGTATCGACGCGAGGGCGTCTGTCGTCACATTGCCCTGCCCATGCACTAATCACGCCGTAAAGTTGACTTCGTATACTTACCGGAGTTTGAAGGGGGGAGAGAAAAAAGTAAGGAACGCGAGAATCGTCCCGTGAACAACCACCCACCGGCCGCAGGGCATACGGCCGCATTTATTCACCTCTGCGGCCATTAACGACCCCATGGGCGTAAGACGAGCGGGCTCTGAGGACAGCTTTTATAACCCACGAGTTTTTTTTTTTTTATTAAGTTTATATGTTCCAAGGAGTTTAAATACTCCTGATCGTGCACTTTATGCAATTTTACATAATTTAGGTGTGAGGGGAATTAAACAACCCTGCATTCAAATTTGAATAAAGATCCAATGTTTTTTGAGGTTAGCTCGCGCAAACGCATTTATGGATGCCTACTGAGGATTTTGTTCTATACCATGTATAGTTTTATGTGTTTAGTCGATGGCAGAAATATAACGTATTGGATAAATGACACCCTTAACGGAACAATATAGTTTCAAGACCGACTACGCCAATGGACTGGTCCTATAAAGCAGGCAGTATAACGAGGCGTGGCTGCAAAACCTTCGAGGCCCCCTGTATCTTTTCTCGCTCTCCTGTGCATTCGCTCGCTCGGCTTTTCGCCCGAGCGAATTTTATAATCGCACGCTACTGCACTTCTAATGATACATCCGCGTCCGGCCTATCTTTACCGAGAGAATGCATGGCAAACCGTTTGCACCGTTCCCTGCAATTCTTCTCCAGAGCTCGGTGCAAGTACGGTAAGCGCGAACCCGGTGCAATTAATTTTAACCGTACATTGTTCAACATCGCTCTAAACGAGATATGCATTAAGTGCGTTGATCGAGGAATGTCAATCCTAGTTTCATTTACCCATCCCTAGGTACTTCTAAATAAAGACACATTACCAGGTGTCAATTTCCGTCGTTTTTATGTCGAGTAGGTAAATTGCTTTGACGTAGAACACGATACCGTGTTGTATACCCTTTTGGGCTTAAAGGATGACGTGTAAACTCGGGAGAAATCAGATCCACCGCCGACAAACCAACCGATGTACTCTCTGCTCCGGTCTGATCAAAGTGGACAAACATTTGAGCACACATGTAGTAAGAGCGCCGACACACGTGGTCACAGTAACCTCTCTGTCCGCCGTCGCGCCAAAGGTGACACCTGTGTCGCGCTTGTAGTACTACGTACACAACATGCTCGTATCTCTCAAAATACCCAGTAGTTAGTAAATAAAGGGATCTAGATTAAAGGTGGACTTACGAGCAAAAAGAACATCGTTCACTGATGTCCGAAACGAACAGTGGCTCCTATGAAAGCAAGCTTTGAGGTTATCTTATCGCTATGTACGCAATAAAATAGAGATACAAATTTTAGATAGGCGAATGCATGTTATACCGAGGGTATAGCACAAATTCGTCAGATTCGTCGTTTTCGCAGGAGAGTTCAGATCCTGTCTCGTGAGAGAGTATTATGGAGCTGTAATTGCATAATTGCGCCCAAGATGCGGATAGATATACAGAATGGACATAACGAGGTACATAACAAGAGTGCCACTAGAGGGGGCAGGTGAGAGAGGAATGTTACGTATGCTAATCGCAGCGAATCGGGAGAGAGGTAACGCCCGACTTAGCACGTTGCGCCGAGCCTTTGGTATGTTAATTAGCCATCAGCCCGTCGTTGCAAAGCCGCCTTGCCGGGATGAGAGTTTACGTCCGAAGATAACCTTGATAAGACTAAACGGACAGGTCTAACGAGGGAACCTCGGTAACCGAAAAATCCGGGTCCTGAGACCTTAACCCGAGGTGCCAAGACACGTTTCGTATACGAGTTTCATGCTATAAGGCGATCCTGTTAACATCTAGAAACATCTGTATAAAAATATCTATATAAAGAGAATAAAAAAAAAAAATACAAAAATGAAAATTCTGAGCTGGACCAAATTTCCGTTATCTCTCCGTTTCCCAACCATCGTGGGAGACCATCGAGCGGAGCGATGTATTTAATCTAACAAAGAAAAATAAAATACGAGGTGATAATCGCGCCGAACATCAGATATAATCAGTTACGGCCGATCGGTATCGGAGGTTTAACTCACCGTCACGGCATTATCGGGAATATCAATTTCGACGCCGTGCCAGATTCGTTCCGTGGCATGCAAGGTTGCTCGGCATCATTACTCTCTATCTCGTTAGTTGTAATTCACATTCGTTCACGTAATGCATGATTATTGTCAGGCATAGTTAATGGCTCGGCGCACACCCATTACTTATTTCTCCCCGACCCGTACAAAAATGCCGACTGAGAACATAGGCATTCAAAATGGCGTCAAAACGCGTTAAATCGCAACGAGGGATTGACATAATCCGAACAAATGAAATTATATTAGCTTCGGAAGATTCACTCATCGCTCCCTATACCTCGTTATCCGTAATCCGTGCTGCAAGTGGTGCACGGTTAAGTGAATAATGGCGGTAGCGGTATCGCGGAATTAATCGTCGTTTAAACGACCGCGGAACCGGCGATCTGCCCGATAATTGGCTAGCGATCGATCCTCGCAATCGATCCCCTCGATCGGGAAACTTGCGCTCAATCACCGAGGAGAAAAGTGCAATAATTATTGCGTGTGTTAATAACCATCGAGGCCAAAGAGTAGCGTCAGTCAGTGCGCTGCAACGTGCGTTCCCTATCTCCTGTATCGCGTCTTCCCGCGCCGCCATCTTGGACCACGTGACCCTCGTATACCTTGCCAGGGTGTAATTTGCATAAATTCATTACCCGTCGGCTCGTTAATCAATCCGCTTTTTACGTCTTCCCTTCTCTCCGTCTCTTTCTCGATTTGCATCGCGATGCAGCGACAGAGATAATAAGAAAAGGGGGAAAAAAATAGTCTTCGTTTTCTCCCCATTCGTCTTTTCACTTTTCGATTCGATTTGTCTTCGGCGTTGGCCATGATGGATGCAAGGCGAGCTTCCTTGAACGTTATCCGAGTTAATACTCGTTCTCGTAATGGTCTCACTTTTAATCAAGTATTTCTCGCGTGGCGCATCGGACTTGCTCCTCGTCGGGCGTGAATTTGCACGACAATGGCAGGGATGTTAAGTGCGGGCGTCTTAACTATTGCGGGGCGGCCCGTGGAATGCAATTTGCATAAGAGTGCACAGGAACGTATAGGAGAGTGCGGCTTGGTGCGTATGCGAAGAGAGTTGCGGTAGCGCCGTAGAGGATCGTGTTAATTAGCGGCACGCGTGCTGCCAACCCGAGGCCTCGATTAATGCACGACCGAGAGAGGGCGCGGCAGTCGGGAGAGGAAAAGAAACAAAAGGTACAGGGTGAGTCAGGTTCCTGAAAAAGGAGGTAACGTAATCGTGAAATTTCTACAATAAATTTGGAAAATGGAGAAAAATATGCGTGATCGATTATTGTATTGTAGATTTGTCGAAGTGGAGGGGAGGATGAAAGGAGACAGGGGAAGAAATCGGAGCGGCAGGTAAGGAAGGATAAGAAATGGCGGAACAGGGTAGAGAAGAAGGAGCGAAGAGCGGCGCGAAGAAGAGGGAGATGGACCGGTAATAAAGCGAAAGCGAGCAAATAAAAGGCCCAAAGGCATTCCTGACGCCCACGTCGTTCAGGCGTCCACTTAGCTCCGAGTTTTATAATGGGCATCGGCACGTACACAAAAACCGTGTACCCGGGTGGAGAGTGCACGCGGTTCGAGGGGGTGCCGCGAGGGCGCTGCACCCTGGATACGCTCAAGAAAGGACGCGAAGCAGTTTTGACGGATTGAGACCACTTCCATAAGTACTTTCATGGACCGATGTCACGATAAGTAATATGCAAGTGTGTATTTGGCGCGAAACTCTACCGAGTTGCCTGATGAACGCATATAAGTTCACGTTCCCCCCTTCAGTCCTTCAAGGTGGAGAGACTAGTGGCGCCCTCCCCGTATACACTGGAAAACGTCTCACTCGCGGTCGAGTAATGGAGTGAAAATCGCCACGATAAATCCCTGGTGAAAGATGGGGAGAAATTTCTCCCTGCTCTAAGTCACCGGTGGTAAATTGCTACGGGGAAGTTGTAAAGTGGATCGCCGCCTCTGCGTCTACGCACCTGAAACGCACGTCAGAGGAGCCGAGAGACGCCAGCCATTGCATTCATTAAAACGACCCCGACACTTTGGGGAAATAAAAACGACGGAGTGAAATAAAGTAAGACGCGTCTACCCACAGTTGCGGAATACCTGTGCACCTGTATATACACCTGTGTACGCGTATACACCCCAAGCTAATGAAACGACAAGTAGACCAGGTCCGCGACTTACAACCCATGATCTCGGCGCTGGGAGAATCCCTGCCCCATCTTTCACCGGCGATTCATCCATTACTCGTTCTCGAGTAAGACCTCCATCTTCTGTTTACAGAGAGAGAGAGAGAGGGGCAACCTGTTGCCCGCGACGAAGGACTCCTCGTTTAGATGGAGAGAAGATAACCCCGTCGGTAGGTTTATCAACATGGTAAACGAGAAACCCCTTCGGCGCATGCGTACGGCGCGATTTGTACGCAACTTCGCGGCAATTAACATTTTACATAAACGACGACTTGCAACAATTATCCCCCTGGAACATGGCGTTAATTGAGGGTCTTTCATCAAGGTTCCGGATAAACCTCCTGGTCTCACCTGTGAGCTCGTCGGCGTCGACGTCCCTGGTGACGAGGACGGCTATCGTGTGCGCAGCCGGAAGTCCCCAGGCAGCGACGGAGCCGACGGTTGAAAACCCCTGCTGGAGACCCAGGCTCTCGTCCTTTCCGTTCAGTCCAGATTTTGTCCACTTCCGGGCGACCGTGCACCACCAGGCGCACACTATGACCCACCTTAAAATGAAATCGGATCGTTCAGATTTGAATTTGGCGCGGCTTTTTTTTTTTAATAATAACGGAAATAAGGGCGGAATTCAAATCTAGAATCTTTGGTTGAGAACCCTCACTAGGGGTGGCGGGATGAACGATGATTCAGCGCCGCGTGAGAGTGAACAAGTTCGACGATTCACGAACGCCTGCGTGTAAGTGCAGACGAGAGGGCTCTCGCGTTGGCTCGCATCAGCGCCACGCACGGCCGGAGGTGGAACCTACACCTGGTGCACCTATCCCTCTCGAACGCATCTCGAGGGCATCCGCGCTCGGTCCTGCGCTCGGCTGAAAGGCTGCCGAGTAATTAATCAAACGGGCCTATCGACGGGATCGAAAGCCAACGAGCGGATCGGACGAGGCGCGAACACTCCTCGCGTCTACGGACGCTACGAGAGGCCTCGCCAACTCCAACCTAACCTCGCTTTGCGCTCGTGCGCGAACTACGAATTGCAAGGGGTATACGAGCCGCACGAAGGAAGCATTCCAGAGAGAGTATATAGAATATTTAAAAAAAAGTCCCTAAGGTTTCTATGAGACATTTTAGGTTAAAATACGTGCCACCACCACCTAACCTATTTTTTACAACCTTATACTTTTATTCGAGAATTGAGATTTCGCTAGCACCAAGATCTTCGTTAGGACCTCCGTAATCTTGTGATAAAGTTTCAAATTATTCGGTCCACCCAGTTTGGAGAAAAGTTTCATAAATACTCTGACTTTTCGAGGTAGAGCACGTTAAAACGAGATTTCCGGAGTTTCGGGCGTGGAATTTTATCCCTAGCATTCGGTAGTCACGATTTATGCCATTTTACAATGTCGTCAAAAAGTCGGTACGAAGCCCGCCGAGTGTCGGAGAGGGAGAAAGTGATCGAATCACGGGGACGTATTCGGGAACGCGAGGAGACGCGTGCGTGCGCGATGCGTGCACCGCTCGCGGTGGAACCCGATCGCCGTCGATACCGATCGGGCTGATCGACTCGACGGAATCGGCAAGGCCTGGGAAGGGATCGGATTTAAGGCGCCTAAACTGATACGATACTTGCCTGCCTCGGCGCGGCGCGTTTAAGCGGCCGGGAATAAAGTCTCGGGTTTCAACCCGGGTTACCCGAGATCCTGGCGCTCGCCGATTACACGGCCGACATATTGTTTCGTGTCACCGAAGCCTCGGCGAGAACGAAACGGGCCTTCAACATTGAGAATGCGACGTTTCCCCGAACGAGGGAAACAAGTCGAAGGAGTCTAAACCGAAGGGATCGTCCGATGTAAACGGAAACATCCGGCAGGATGGGCAATTTCCATAGAGCTTATAGACATAGAGAGGCCATTCGCTATAGTATCTGTATAGAGTTAGGTGTTACGAGGAGGTTAGACAGAAAAAAGGACCTTCTAAGCGTTACCGGAAGTGAGCTGCGCGCGCATTAGTAGGCTTTTGATACACGAAATGTAAACACCAGAGTGAATGGTAAAATTTGTAAAGAAATTTGTTTTTTCTTTTTCCTTTTCAATTGGGGATTCATTCATTTTGAAGCAGTATTAACTTAGTATATTTTGTTCGGATCGTTCTTTTCTTTTTTTCGCAGTCGTAACTAACTTTTGTATGAAACATTCTTACACTATGTTATATTACATTAACTCTTTATTACTTACTGAGAAAGGGACCTCTCTGTCTAACCTCGTCAACCTACCTGTCTATAAGCTTTATGGCAATTTTGGACATATTCTCAGTGCGTTCTATGCACTTCCCGGCGGCCATCTTGGATCGTAACCGACAATCTTTTTGAATATCTCGCTAATAGCGCAGCACCTACCGCAGATTGTCGATGGTTTCGATTGCATGCCGTGAAATTAATCCCCAGCAGGTCCCGTGGGACTCCTTTTACGAATTTCGAGGAGGTCCCTGCGAGTGGCGTGGACGATTATCCGCTTGAAAAATGATCCATGGCGAGCATAACCAACAGAGGGCCGCCATTATCCCGATTTCCCTCCCATTTATCATCTCTGGTCCGGAGATGACCGCGTCTCGGACCGGTCGAACCTCTCTCCCAGGAGGAGAGGCCGAGACACGGGACGCGTACATGGACGCGTGTATAGTTAATGGCTGCGTGAGCGCAGGTAGTTTGGAACCTGTTTGGTATCACAATAGTCAAAAGCCAAACGCAACGTGGCGACCCCAAACACCCGTTGCACCTTTTTCTTCCTTTCGCCCGCTTTGGACGATCCCCTTGAGAGAATTTCCCCCGGGATCTTACGTGTGTACATAATAATCGTTATATTCTTATGTTTCTATACTCACGGAGGTTTTATGAACACCTGTAATTACCTCCATGGAAAGTTCCCTGCAAAAAGGTTTATAAAAAAATGTATAGAAGCACCGAGTACGTGTACATTAACGAGCTACTTTCTCGACGGTTATTCAAAGTTTGGAAATGTTTCCGAGAGACAGCCACACCATACAGGTATAGTATTGTGTAATATATTGCGATATGTATAAATAATTGTTTACTTTTCGAGTCGTCGACCTTTCTTTTTTACGAGGCTGTTCTTTTTATGCCGTGGCGTACAGACAATAGTGAGGGAGTTTCAGGTGGAGGGTAATCTTCGGAGTCCGCGTGATCGCCGCCACGCGTTTCGCGCTTCCTTTCTCCGGCACCACGCGATGCGTGCTACGTACGTGACCGACCGTGTCGAGCGTGCGTGCGTGAATAATGCAACGAAGAGGGGCACGTGCCGTGCGCGAGCGCGACACCTCGCGTCCGAAAAATCCGGCAAGCAGATCATTTCGACGTTATCTCGGCGAACCTTCTCGTTTAATCGAAGGTGGAGGGTAAATAAAAATGTAGGTGGAGATTCCGCGGTAAAAAGAAGCGTTTTGCATCTCGTGTGTCCCGGAAGAGTGAATTTTCGAAGAGCGCGTCTTCCCATCCCAAGATGGCGGCGACCTCTCTTACGACTCCATTAGCGGCGAACCTCGGAATCGTCCCCAGGAAAGAACGGGTCGAGCCGGTAGGAGAAAACAGCTAACAATAAGTGACAAGGAATCGTTTCCCTGCGATGCCCGCTCGGGCAAAAACTCGCCGAGCGAATCTCGCCCCGCGGTGATGAATGGAGTTAGAGAGGAGCACACCTCCCCGGCGAGTATGCGCGGAGAGTCGCCACGGGTGAGTGGAGGTAGCGCTGTCCTTGTCGTGCGCGCGCCCGGCGCTATACGTCGGTCTCTCTCTTTCCCCCGGCCCGAGGACCGGCCGAGGCCGTTCTCCTCCACACCGTTCGCCGATCTCGCCCCTTCCCGGACTCTCTCATTGTGCCCGGGACAAAAAGAGGACTCTAACGAGACGTTAACACCTCGAGGAATGCCCGGCGAATATAAGCTGCCCTCCGAGCGAGGTGGACGCGGCTGATTGGAAGGGAACCGAACGATGATCTATGGACCGGCGCGCTCCGGAAACAAGATGGCGGATCTGACGCCCGTTAAGGGTGAGTTTCGCGAGCGCAGCGAGTAAGTACGTCAACGTGACTCCACGCAGCGAGTCGAAACAACGTTAACGACTATATCTCAGAAGGAGCGGCACGAATTGGCGCACGTGTTAACGCGTCGAGGCTACATACGGGAGAAAACTGCATCAGAATGTGCAGGGGCAACTGCACATGGCGTAAGTGACGCGCGGGTACGTCGAACGAGTGTAACGAAAGTCCAGTCCTCGGATCGGACCATTTACGGAGCGCCATCTTGCAACATCTCTGCAGCGTTTACGGGACCGGCGGTGCCCACGCTTTCGTTTCCGAAGAAAACTGCGTCGACTGCACCAGGAAACACCTATCTTAGATCCAATTTAAGCTGAATTATGCCAGGTATCTTAAGCGCCTCTGAATTGAAATCTCGCCAACTCGTGGGAACTCTTTCAGGAGGTGGACGCGGAGGTCTAATGGGAGAAGAACGGACTCGTTGAGGATTATTACAGGGTCCTGGAACTCATCGAGGGACCCGGGAATTATCCCCTGGGATAACGAAGCAGCGAGAAGGGAGGCAACTAGGGGCTCGGGAACATGGCTACCGGTTGTCACGTTGTCAAATAAGTTCCTGCAAACACTCGAAGCCGCGGGCTCCCCTTTTCGCCGGGAGTGCTCGAGTGTAAAGCAAACTCGAAGGCTGGCAGTAAAGCGCCAAATTCACGCGCCAACGAGCAAATACTGCAGATATCGAGGCGGGACCCGAAGAGGCGACGGCTGACGGGGTTGAAAAAAAAAAAATGGTAGATATGCGCATCGAATAAATATCCGAGCTACCCACGTCGCGCGAGTAAACCTGGGCAAATCCGTGCCTGGCCGAGTATCATCGACTAGGCTACCCGATGTAGACGCCCAATTTTACTCGTCATCGGACACATTCTGCCCGATTAGAAAGCAACTCGGGTAGCTTTCTAGAAACGGACTTTATTGACTTACCCGACCTGTTTTTTCCCCCTAATTTACAATCGCACACAATTAAGGCCGAACGGCTGCCCGTGGTATCCATCGGCTTCGATACTTTCCCTTGTCTATGTAAACTAAAACGAGTTCTCAAGAGACACGTACTCCCATATCTGCTCTGTCCAGGTACATTAATCAATTACGTCCCCAGTTATGTCGGTACCCGAGTTGATGCCTCGTTACACAGTAATTATTAACGGTGAAAAAGGAGATGCATTGTTAAATAAACGTCCGCAAGATACGCCGTCCCGTTAAGTTATCGTCCGCGAGCGATCCCGTATCTCCTTTTTCCCGGCATAATTATGTTTGGTCAGGTACGAGACCATCGATCGTTATCATCAACGGTAACGTATATTTCTCTTTACGGTCTCCCCGTTTACCGTCCGGCATTTTACCGTCTATAATCTTGGATGTTAATAAATACTAATCTCGGCCCGCGTACTCTTAGGAACCTCGGGCATCGAGCGACGAGATGCGAACGCGCGTCCGTTCTTGTA